GAGGGAGCTGAAGAGGAAGCACTCAGCCAGGGAGAGTGCACCCTTGCGCGCCCGCCCGCCCGCTGGGTGTCAGCAGGGCCAGCCTCTGGGGGGCCCTGAGGTGACCGGCTGCTGGGCCCCCCAGGAGAAGAGGCTGGCCCAGTGGGTACATACTGGGTTGCAGGGCTCCCTGCGAACCGCTATGTACACCACTGAATGTGGGGCCCGGACGACCTGAGCAGTCCGGGCCCCCCAGGACCGCCAGGCCCATGACAACCGTTACGGTTGTCATGCCCTGATGGTGGCCCTGGTTCCTGCTGCCTTTCCCCCCATCCCTCACTTACCTGAGCTGTAGAGCTGCTGTCTGGACTGTCTGCGCTGTGTAGCTGCTCCCCCAGGGATCAGTGAGTAGTAGAGAGAGGCAGGGATATTCTGTAACTCCCTTTACCTGCCTCTCTCCACACACAGTGACCCCTACTGGCCGGTGCTGGTATTGCAGAGTAATTTCCATTTATTCTGAGAAAATTACCTGCATTTGTATTGCTGGTATTACTGCAATACCGGCACGGCCAGGCAGCCTCAAATATCGTCTGTGCCATTAAAATACCAGTCAGGTGGCAAACCTAAGAGTAGTGTGTAAAAAAAAAATATATATATATATAATATATATATATTTTTTTTTTTTAATGGGCCTATTCCATGGGCCTTGGCCTGGGCCTGGAGCTGCAGCTCCAGCAGCCCCTATGTTAATCCGGCCCTGGGTAAGGGATGAGAAGTGTGGGTTGGGGGAGGAAATATGTGGAGGGGGAAAAAAAATCATGAAAAGTGTATTCCTTTCTACCTGAGGCTTACCTTTTGGCCAGGGATGGTAGGAGGGAGAACTCCTTCCTCCCCTTCCCTATGCGGCTATGGATATTTATCCTCCTCCTTGGGCTGGCGCATTGAGCTCACAATATGGTGATGTTATACAGAGTGTAAGATATGTGGGAAGTTAAACCACTTTACAAACGTTTATCATTCCAGCGGCGAGAAAAAGAAGAGTGCTATGAGCTGATTATCGACTCAGTGACACTGCACAGACAGAGCTCAGACATAGAACAGGATTTTACTAATAGTCATGTAGGTAGGCCCAGAGCAAATTGTAATCAAATTCAAGCTGTACGCCAGCTCATCAGTTAACGTCATTCACCTATATGAATATACCAAACTGAACACTCAGTGTACTCTGCAAACGACGTCTCTCCTCCTATTTGGCTATAGTGGTGAATGCCTAGAGGTAAAAAGCAAATGTTATTAGATATACGAGCACAAAGATATCGAGACTCAGATAGATATACATGCATTTATTTGATTTGGTCCTGATTACCACGTTGTTACGTATATTGTAAAATGGGCCTATTCGTGCATGCTATTATGCATTATCCTGTCATTATTATTATTTATAAAGCGCCAACAATTTCTGTAGTTCCGTATGTGTTGACTAACAGACAAGTGTTTGCAGCATGACAAGTAGGATCTCAGAGGGTGTTGAGGGCCCTGCAGGGCTGGTGCAAGGATTTTTGCAAAGCCTCATTTTGCAGCCCCCCACATGGACCCACTCATGACCCTTATTCAATGCCTTGTAGCTATTCTCCAATATAAGTAAGCAATGCCTGGCTTTCAGAGGAAGCAACGATACTCCATATAGTGAAAACAATGATAATTATTTGCAACTCGTGGACATGCTTGCTACATATGATACCATGATGCAAAACCACCTTAAAAAAATAAAACATTCAGAATAGAGATGTCGCGAACCGTCCGCGAACTTCTCGCGAACGGTTCACCATGGTTCGTCACAAACCGTTCGCAGCGAACTCCGGTCAGCTGACACATCCCGGCCAATCTCCAGCAGAAGCTGCTACTAATAAAAAAAGCTAAATACTTTTCCATCATTCTTGACTGTACCCCAGATGTTGCTTTTGTGGAACAGATGATCATCATTGTATCATTGTTAGGTTTGTGTCAATCACGCAAGGGGACTCACCAACAGCAAACCCTGAAGCGAAAATCATAGAAAGGTTTATTGGATTCATTCCGGTTTATAGTTCAACTGGTGAAGGGTTGACTGAGTCTCTTCTGGCAGAGCTTGAGACACTGAACATACCATTAAGGGATATGAGATGTCAAGGGTATGACAATGGGTCTAATATGAAAGGCAAGCACTTTTCTTCAACAGATTGCTCACAAACAGTGGTTGATGTTGAAGCACCCACTGTCATGGTTGTTGAAGGTCCTTCATTGTTCTCCATCTGCACAGGATTCTCTTCAACTTCGCAATCTGGTTCATCATTAGATTGTGTGGCTTTCTGCTTTTGGTCAACATTGAAGAATTTGTTTATTGAACCAGTCATTTTTTGTTCCTCTTCTTCTCTAAGTTTCTGTTTCCTTTTGAAACCTGCACCAGACAACTTCTTACGAGGTGGACCAAATATAGCTCAATGGGAAACAATCTAGTTAAAAAAAATAAAATAAAAGCCCTGAGACCATTGTGTGATGTGGGCGCTTTAAAAATTAGTCCGCAGTCACTTTAAGAATTCAGCTGTGGACTTTGTAGGATGCAGAAGCGGCCGTAAGAGTGTGAGAGAGCACTCTTGCGGCAAATGTGATGTTGCCTTGCCACCGCCTTATATGAAAGTCATATCTGACACCTATACTCCTTCTGCACGCAGCCAGTGGCTGGTGGAAGTCCTGGGTGTCCATATGCATGCTGGGGTAAGTCCTAGTTGTCCATATGCGTGCTGGGGTAAGTCCTAGTTGTTCATATGCATGCTGGGGTAAGTCCTAGTTGTCCATATGCATGCTGGGTATGTCCTGGGTGTCTATATGGGTGCTAGGGTAGGGAGGGTCTGCACATCACTACTACTCCTCCTTCCATTCTAATAGATGGAGAGGGGAGGGGGGGCAGAGTCATGTGAGAGTGAGTGTCATATGCATGACCCGCCCCCACCCCCCCGCATTGCCATAGCCAGCACCTCGCTGATTAAACTAAATTCCAGCTCCTCCTTGCAAGATGGAGGAGATGGATCTGGATGGGACAGACCGTAATATGCAGCCCCCGGCTCGCAAACCAGGCGCTGCAATACTTAATATTATTGGCGGCCACGCAGCTGCCCCGTCTCTTCAGTGCCACGTGCGTCCCGGCTCCAGTGCCATGGCACCCTTTGAAGCATCGCTCGCAGCAGCGTGGACAGCAGGTTGGTGCTCCCTCCACCTGTGCGCCCTAGGCCAGCGCCTACTTCATTCTAGAGGGAGTGGGGTAAAATGACACGAGGTAAGGGAAGGATTTGTTTCATGTACATGAAAAATAAGTTGCTAGGATACAATGGAGGCTTAGTTGTTTTTTTTTATAAAACAATTGCAGGAGAGGAAGCAAGATGGGTTACCAAGGTGCGTAGAAGGAAGTTACTAACAGTTTAATTGATATGCTTTCCTAAAGAAGTGAGTTTTTAATGAATTTTTAAAGGACTGCAAACTGGGTGAGAGTCTAACGTAACAGGGAATGTAGTTCCATAGGAACGGTGTAGCCTTAGAGGAGTGTTGAAGGTCGGCGTCAGAAGTTACAGTATGAACAGAGAATAGACTTGGACACAGGGCCGGCGCATCCATAAGGCGACACGGGCGGTCTCCTTAGGGCACAAATGTTCAGGTGACAAGCAGGAGGGAAGCGCACAGCACACCAGATGTTCTTGCCATTCAGTTAGAAATAGCATAGAGGCAGTCAGAAACACGAGTCTAGAGGGACAGCGAGAGATGAGGAGAGGAAAGATAGATTTGTGTGTCATCTAACCTATAGTACGATATTTGAAGAACCAACTACGTAACTAATGTGATTACTGTATTGTCTGCACCGATGTACTATCATATTTTATTATTTTTTATCTTTCTATGTATACCTGTAAGCCGGTACAACGTGGATAATGATAATGAAACATTTCAACAAAAACAAAATAAACAAAAAGATCTGCATAGAAGTGATATTGGAAGCCAAAGGAGCTGATGAGTTTACCAAGTCAGTATAGATTGAGAATAGTAGGGGACCAAGGACAGAAATTTGGGGAAAACACACATAGAGGGATTGCAGAGAAGAGGAAGAGCGAGTAAAACACTGAAAGAGCACAGGGAGGTCGACAATGAACCTGGATAGAGCAGTGTTTCGTAGACAGAGATTACAAAGGATGAGAAGAAGTCAATGATCAACAGTGTCGAAAGCAGCAGAAAGGTCAAGGAGCATTAGGAGAGAGTAGTGACCACTGGATTTAGTAGCAATTAAATCTTTGGATACTTTGTTCATGGCAGTTTTGACAGAATAAGGGTTTTTCATGTCACAATTTGCTACGTCGGAATTCAGTAAACAACCCTGACAGTGTTATGACGTGCGCATTTCTAAAGTGGCCACACCGAAAAGTTTTACATTTTTCCTGTTTTAAAAAAGGCATGAACAAGCATTACAATATGTGTGCAAACATTTCATTAAAAAAAAAAATATATATATATAAATATATATTCTGTGTTTTTGCAAGTTAAACCTTTTCTAGTCTTATAGAAGAGCACTATGGTTTATTCACTAAACAGTGACCAGTGGGGAGTTTTAAAAAAAAAATCACTGTTTTTATTTTTTCCAGATGATTTATTTTTGCCAACATTTTGAAATGTGTTTTTTTAATTCAATCTTCAATACCAATATTCAATATCTTGTAAAACAGTCACATTGCCTTTTTTTTTAATTGTGACAACCATTTCCACTATGAAACAGAAAGGACTGTACATGGTGTGGTATGAATAGACTGGGTGTACCCTCCCCATGCACAGGATTGGTGAGGGGGTACATGTAAGGGATGAGCTCACAATATGGGGTGATGTTATACAGAGTCAGCCTGCTCTATACAGGACTCTGCCCCTTTCCTCCATTTCCCTCCCTGCAGTTTCTGACATTAATGGGCTGGATTTAACTCCACCCAAGTGTTCGGCAAGGCGGCCTCCAGGCCATGTGTGTGAGCTGTGGGCTCAGGCCTTTCTAGAGAGCTCTGGTGACAGCTTGCTGCTGCTTCCCTCCCCGGCTAGTGACTTCTCTTCCTGGTCGCCATGGCGAGCCCCTGCATCGTGGTGAGTGCGACCTGCTAACGGGCGACCTCCCCCCGGTCTGGCATGAGAGGAGGCGCCTGGTGGCAATGGGGGAGCGGGAGCATGGGGCAAAGTGCCGGGGGGAGGAGGGGGGTGATGGATAGGAGAAGTGCGGCAAGGCCCAGCTCTTCATCTTAGTACATAGGGTGTGAATGGGCTCCATGGCAACCACAAGCTCTGTATAGACACCATGCTGCTCCATGTACTGCTACCTGGCAGCATGGGCACATGGGCTGGGTGGAGGGTATAGGATGGGGAATACATGGCTCCCACCTTTACCTTGTATTTATGGGAGTATACACCTTTTTATGCTATTGGGCAGGACATGAAAAGTGCTGCCCTTCTGTATGTAGAATTCTTGTACACAAGCAGGCAAAGTGCTTCCATACAGTATGTAGAATTCATGTACACAAGCAGGCAAAGTGCTTCCCTACAGTATGTAGAATTCATGTACACAAGGAAGGGAATCTATAAGTAGCTCCCGTGTCTCTCTCTTTGACAGTTTTTTTTATTATTATTATTATTATTTATAAAGCGCCAACAAATTCTGCAGCGCTGTACAATGGGTGCACTAAAAGACAATTATTTGTAACCAGGCCAGCTGGACGCACAGGAACATAGGGGGTTAAGGGCCGTGCTCAGATAAGCTTACATGCTAGAGCTAGGGTGCCCAAAAGGTAGATGCTTTAGAACTACAACTCCTTTGATGCTTTGCATGCTTTTAGAATAACAAAGCATCATGGAAGCTGTAGTTTTAAAACATTCGGAGATCAACCTTTTGGGCACCCCTTGTGTTAAAGGGAGTATATCAATGCTGCATTACTGCAGGGCAGCACTGTAACTGTCTTTATTTATTTATTTTTACATGAAGTGGAGTGTTGGAGGGAGTTTAGATTTTATAGGGGGAGAAATAATAAATGGCAAATATGTGCATAAAATGGATGATGGTGTGCAGGATACACAGGGGTGTGATTTGTTGGAGGGGTACGAGATTTAGTGGGTGTGATGACTAAACCAAGCCTGCAGTTGAGCTTTTTGGTGCATCCTTGGAGATCAGGGGTAATCCAAAATGCAAATTAAATGCTTGTATTTATATCTGTGTGATGGTTCGGGTGTAGAATGATTGAACAGGTAAATGGCATCCATTCTTAGAGTTCCAATAAATAGGTCAAGAAAGGAGCACTCACTGGAATTTAAGTGAAAAAGATAAACACCCACGAGGGTCGACACGTTGATTCTTTTGTTTAATCTGTGCATGCACCCTTTTCAACCTAAAATCCAGTGAGTGCTCCTTTCTTGACCTCTTATATTGTTGCACTATGAGGGGCCCAGGTTAGTTCAGTTAATGTATTTTTTGCATTTATGGAGAATGCCAGATTTGGGACTCTGTATCTCAAAAATATTTGTTTTCCTGTGATATAGTTTTGGATATGTTGTTGTGCATTGGTAAAAAATACTTTGCAATACTTAAATTGGAGCGCAGCTAGGATTTGATTTTCCATATATAGATGCGTATGGAAACTCTGCATTGTCCAACCAGAAACGGTTAAAGAATAGAATATCTTAGTTTGTGGAATGTACTGTGGCAACCATGGTGCTGTGTGCGAAACGTGGAAACTGGAAACCTGACTAATCCCCCTCACGTGCTCTCGCCATGTGTACATTATATTACATCTATCATTGAAAAAATAGTTATTTTCAACCGTATCTATTAAGTGTTTGTAAAAGAAATCATTTCAAAAGTTTAAAAAATAATGCAAGTTGTGTTTGTGTATATATATATTTTTTTTCTGGATATCATTTATTTGCTATAAATCTCTTTTGTCCCAATAAGAGACCATCCAAATCAGTAATATGGATGGGATCATACTGTAATGTTAATATAGGCATTTGTGCATTTATTATTATAAACCACCATCTGCCTGACCTATTGATCTAACACTGTATCTATAGCCAGCATTTACCTGTAAATTGTATCCTATCACACATCTAGCAAGTATACCATTAGGATCAGGGTAGAGACCAGCATGTCCGTTTACTTTGATGTTAATTCGCTAACTTTTATAGAAAACCTAAAAAACTTGGTGAAAATTCTAACACACATTGCCATGAGCAGATGTAAAATATTGTTTTTCCCCATTCTGCTTGATTGCTGGCATGTTTTCAGATGGACAGTCATTGACTGTTTTTTAGTTCAGGTATTGAAATCAAGGTCACCTCTTTCACAGAACATGTGTCTGTGACCTTGGGCCTCCGCTAAGTTATGTTTTAAATCATGGCTGTTTAAATATTTGCAGTGGTTCTTCCTCTTTGTTTTTTGTTCACTTTTGAGTTTTCGCAGCATACAAGCAGATATGACTAGTTCTTGCTCAGGGGAAGAATGAGTCGGCCTGAGTGAAACGTGCTGAAATTTTTTACAATGTGCTCAGGCAGTAGCCATAATTCCTCCTGTATTTTACTCTTGCTATATACAAGTTCTGTTCAGAAATAACACATGCAGCTTCTGGTCCCAGAATGCATGACATTATCCTGCACTGGGAAATACCTTTAATTATCCCAGTTATGAACATCTAACCAAGTTTATAGTTTTACTCTATTTAGAAGACCTTATACTTGCTATTTCCTAGTTGTATTTCCTTCCTGTATTTATTCGATGATGAGTAGACATGGTAATGATGTCTAGGATGTATATACCTAATAAGGCCTACTTTATAGATTTAGTTTTAATGGAATTATGCTTTAGATTAATCAACAGAATTACTAGATATTTCTTTTTCTTCCTAATTGGACAAGCAGATAAAATAATGTAACATTGCGGTAATTAGTCTACATGGAAAATGTCATACAATGTTACAAGTTAACCTGAGTTTGATACACAGATTTGGTTTGTCCTTTTATGTCTGCCACACTCCGCATTCTTTTGTTGTCATAGGCACAGCCAATTTACCCTGGTTTCACAAAAAGCATAGGTGCGCTCAATTGAAACATTAGATTCCCTTTCATAAACTGCACCAGAGATATGCTACAGAGACACTGTTCTTGGCAATGCCAATTCACTAGCACAAACACATGGTCAATTCCTGATCATTCACTGATGCACTTTAATCCTTTCCCCTCGACTGTCCCACAGGGTGGGACATTTTAATTTTCTCATTCCGATCGTATGGCCCACCTGGTGGGACATATGAGTAGCATACAAGTTTGACGATCGTACGGCTCACCCAGAGGGACATAACGTTATCGGATAAAGGCGACTTGAAAAGAAAACACACCCACGAAGTGATTTCTATAAAAATATTTGTCAAATTTGGTGAACGACACTGAAATTTTATCCGAGTGGAAAGGGTTAAATATGCAGACGCCACGCTTCATGTCTATCAGACATCGTCAATTCACTGTCTTTACACATCAACACAAGCGTGTTTTTTAGAAAGAAAAATGTTGGGTGCAAAAAGCCAATCTGGGTAAAATCTTCAACTTTTACTGCTAGGCTATATTGTTAAAGGACCACTATAGGCACCCAGACCACTTCAGCTCAATAAAGTTGTCTGGGTGCCAGGTCCATCTAGGGTTAACCCTGCCTGCTGTAAACATAGCAGTTTCATAGAAACTGCTATGTTTACATATGGATTAATCCAGCCTCTAGTGGCTCTCTCATTGACAGCCGCTAGAGGCGCTTCCGCGCTTCTGACTGAGATTTTCACAGTGAGAAGACGCCAGCATCCATAGGAAAGCATTGAAAATGCTTTCCTGTGGACTGACTGAATGCGCGGCTCTTGCTGCGCATGTGCATTCAGCCGATGACGTCGGAAGGAGGAGGAGAGTCCCCAGCGCCGAGGGAGCCTGGCACTGGAGAAAGGTAAGCATTTAACCCCTTCCTCCCACTTCAGCCCAGCGGGAGGGGGGGGCATGAGGGTATAATAATACTATAGTGCCAGGAATTATAAAATATAAAAAAACCTCAGAATTACCTTCCACTTCTCAAAATGTATTTGTTTTGCTATAACTTAGTCCTTACCCAGTGTGTGACCAGCCAGTGCACATGATGCATATGACTTATCTTTGTTACTGAAGCAACATACTCCTATGTCCGTTAAAAGGAAATGATAGGATAACAATTTCCTCTTATTTTTATTGCATTATAAAAACAATCCATACTTCCAACACAAAGTAAACAGATTTTTAAAGGAGGAAAAATCTAAATCTAAAGATGTTCTATTTAAAATACCTCATAGTCCAAAGGTTATTCAGCATGAAATATGGATTAGTCGTGTAGCAAGTGGTTGTATATTGAATGCATTCCATTAACCCACGTTAATCAAACTTGTTTGCATAGGTAATCAAACTTTTTTACAGAAAAAGACCCTAATCCATTTGTTATTCTACACATAATAAACCGCTACACTATTTACACATAATGAACAGTGATTTGAAGTGGTCATGGTGCTTGGAGTGTAGATTTTAAGTACGGACCTCTGCATATAATTGAGCTATTTTATATTGCTCCACCTCCAGCAACGTCATTGGTACATCCATTATCCAGCCCGAAACAAGAATTTCAGGCCGACTAATGTCAATTCTGTGCAGAATCTGTGCCCAGAGATCATACATTGGCTGAGTGTGCTCAGGTGACACTCTCAGTCAGTGAATGACTGGCAGGATTGGTGTCTGGCTTCTGTCGCTCTGCAGAAGTCACATCCACAACACCCAGCACAGAGAAGGCAGACTTGGCGCTCAGCGGGGAAACTGGTTAAGAGGGCAACTCATTGCAGTTTAAGTTCTTTTTATTTATTTAAAGTTATTCTTTAACAACTTCAGTTACCAAACTCTGATTAAGCAAAACAAGAACATGTTTGCTATATAATGTTGTTTTTAGGTTCTATAAATATTATTATTATTATTATTATTATTATTAGCATTTTATATAGCGCCAGTATATTCGGCAGAGCTTTAGGAGTGATTAACCTATTAATCTGGAGATGGTTCACCTTGCAATAAAATCTTCATCGATGTATTTCTAATGGTATATAACAAAATCCGTTCTAACAGTTAAACTAATCTGAAAATGTGGTGTTCTAAATATGACATCTTCATCTGGTTGCAAATATTAAAGGACCACCTTATGTGTAAGAAGTATCCATAACAATGACCCATTTATAAAAGCGAGGATTTCATTTGAGAAATCAGCACTTTTATAAATTAAATATCTCTGTCAATAAGACAGCCAGTCTTACTTCCTCCTTCTTTTAGCTCCACTGACTAGCTCTAGCAGAGTGCAGCTGCCATGTCCCACATGTTTCCATGAACCTTTGAACGCGTGTACACCGGTCGTCGTACCCCACACACACACCTTTTAAAAATAAATAAATAAATAATATATCGCATGCATGTATTCATTGGGGGTATATCTACTAAATAGTGACTTTATTAAAAAAAAAAATATATATATATATATATTTAGGGCGGAGTAGTCCTTTTTTATTTTTTTAATTTCTTTATTTTTTTCATCTTAACAAGAGTAGCATGCAAGATAGAAGCATTTACGGCTTGTGCAAAAACCCATTATTTTACAACATATTTAAAAATAGTTATACAGTTGCCTATACGATGTATATCAAAACAAGCACATTTAACATTAGGCTTATTCGGCTACTTGTCAAGGATTATTGTAACTTAAAATCATAAACATAGCATACGTACTGAGAGCTCATCTCGTCCTTCGTATTTACTCTCTTTTTATGGTGCAGTAGGGGTGTGTTTCGTGGTGGGATACCTTTGTCCCCGTGTGTTCCCTGTATTCTGCACCCCCGTTTAAGAGGATGAGTTCTAATTTCCATTAATCGATTCGCTATTTTGTTGTCAGTTCACCATACGATAGTAGTTGGTGTATTTCTTCATTTAGCCTAATCTAGCTTACATTGTTGTATAATGAGAAAGAAATCAGAAAGTAGAAAAGAGTGTATATAAGAAGTAGGTGGAATAACGAGAGAGGGGGGAGGGAGAGGCATAAGGTTATACGTCAAGTTGAGACAATATGGCGTTGTACGGAGTCCTCTAGGGGATGTCTATTACCTCCCGTGGTCCCATGTGGCCCTTACACTGTATCAGGGTGCCTACAGAATCCCTCCATCTAAGAGATCGCTATTCTGCCAAGGGTCCCAAAGTTTGTCGAAACTGGACATGGTCCCTCTTAGTCGAGCGGTCAGGCTATCCATTAAGTGTACCTCTTTTATGTTGGAAATCACCCTCTGAATTGGTGGGAGTGTGGTTTGTAGCCAAGTTTCTGCTCCCTCCTCGTCCAATCATCTAAAGATCTGTTAAGTAGGTATGTCCATGGAGTTAGGCTTGGCGCCCTGTGAAATATTCTTTTGATCAGTTTATATATTTTAGCCCAAAAGGATTGTGCTTGGGGACATTCCCACCACATGTTACTGTGTTCCTTTAAGACTGCAACCTCTCCAGCAAGGATCAGATGGCGTTTGTTTCATGTTATATAATTTCACTGGTGTGGTGTACCACCTAAACATTGTTTTATATGCCTGTTCTTGGAGAGTTACGCAAATGGAAAGTGAGGTGTTTGCTTCCCATATTTCTCTCCACTCTACTCCCTCTAGTACTTCCCCCAAGATCCCTTTCCCAGGCGTCTACGTAAGCTAAGGCGGAGTAGTCCTTTTTAAAGAACCAGCAAGAATAAGTCCTCGCGTTTCCAAATCATAATTTAAATGAAGTCTTACCAATTAGTGATTTTAAATCAAATCCACCTGCTCACAGCACAGGATGAGTGGAAGTGTTCTGCAAACTAACAGCTGCAGCATGGCTACTGTTTATTTACGCAAAAAACGGTTCACTGTTTAGTTCTGCTTATAGCCAGGTCTGCAGTCAACCCTTGCTCTACTCCCTCTCCCAGGAGAATTGCAGTTTGAACACAGAGACTTACTTCCACCATTTGCAATGACTATAGCTTGTTAAATTGCTTGTAGTGTGCATTTAACAGGACAGTCCAGGCAGAATATGACTTCTTCTCTCTTGTACATTTTTAGTATCTCCCTTTTTATCATGCTTGTTTTGCATGTCACACATTACATTATTAGACTATATTTGCTCCTGCTAGATCATGTTCCTGTCAGCAACTGGATCACTTTTCTGTACACAACATGGAAAATATGTAAAAGTTTGCTATAGCACGTGCTTCTGTAAGGAAATATTATGGTCACTAAATGCAAATCTGTTTTTTCTAAATATTCTCTCTTTACCTTCCAGCTCGACGACGATGAGCAAGGTTACGATCTCGATTTATTTTGCATTCCCAAACATTATGCAGCTGATTTGGAGAGAGTCTACATTCCGCACGGACTTATCATGGACAGGTTGGTTGTAACTTCAAAACATCGCAGTTCTATACGCTTTTGTAGAGTTCTAGTCCTGTCTGCTGACATTAAGTGGAGCAATCTGCAACACTGTTTTTAAAACTTGAATTTGGTCTCGCTGAGGTTTTTTTCAACCTAGATTACAGTGCAACTGTAATTATGTAACACAACTTCCATAATAAAATCACAGAGGATTATGGGACCTGTTCATAGATACCAGCTGAACACCCACAGTTTGACAGCTCAGATATAGAGAATGCTCCCAGTAATACTTGTGTTCTCTCTTCTACTTGACCAGTGATGGCTAATCATCGCAATGCTGTTTTTCTCAGGCAGCCTCAAGGGACATGTTGCTCACAAACATCAGCATGTGACTGAATACATGCAGCTGCTTTTAGTAGCACACCCAAGTAGATACAGTATAAAGGAATGACCTGCTGTGCTAGGAGATAACATTTAGGATTTTTCGAACTAAAATCAGCACTGAAAATGTGTAAGGCATAAAGGCTCACTGTCTTTGATAGTGCCTCATGGCATAGCATGCAAGCACTTTAGATCATATGTCCCCTGTCTGCTATATTCTACACAGGAAGCTGTGTATTTTTGTGCATGAATTGCTTGGTTTTCAGGTAATGTAATGTTATCCATAGATCAAGGAGACGATCATAATGAGATATGAGACCCCAGCTAGTCCCCTCCTGTATCGTTATCGGCAGAGGGCTGAACTAAAATTGGTGGCAGCTAGAAATAGTAGCTGCTTCCTGGGAAGCATAACTCGTACTGAGACTGGAACAAGTCACGTGACTTGTCACCATCTCCAGCGTTCTCTGCACTGCATGGTGTCTGTCAGACTATGCTTAATGGAGAATAATGCATGGGTAAGGTGACAATCCTTCCAGAGTTTGAAAACATATTCTGTTCGTTTTAGTTATAAAGTAATTTTAATCAAATTTAAGGATCCAGTCATGTAAAATCACTCCAGAGTGCCCCAGTGACTTTCGTTCTACTTGAGTCTGACAAATGAAATTTCACAGCTTTATTAGTTCTCACCCAGTGTGTACGTGCTGAGCGAACATTCTATCATGTGACTTGTCACCAGGTTCCAGTGTTTGCAATGAACAGAATCTTGTTTTGCTGTCAATATTACAGAAAATAATGAAGTAAATAGTATAAAATCCTTTCATGTGAATATTGTTGATTCATATTAATTTAAAAAAAAAATTTTTTTTTTTTTTCCATTTGCTCTTTCCCATTTCCCTTTTTGTTTACTCACGCAACTGAAAAGTTTGGATTTTGGAGAAAATAAATAAGTAAAAAAGAGAATGGTACAGGTACTATAAAATGAAACATAGATCTTATGTGACATATATAGAGTATCTGTATATATAATCTCATAAAGCCTTATAATAAAGATGATTCACTTTCCCCCTGCTCCAGCACTGGGTCTCCCCTTGCAAAAAAAGTACTTTCTGAAGTTGGGGAAGTTGTGATCTAACCTTTTCTTTCAATTTTGCTTTAAACAGGACAGAAAGGCTGGCTCGGGATATCATGAGAGATATGGGAGGCCATCATATTGTTGCTCTGTGTGTGCTGAAGGGGGGTTATAAATTCTTTGCAGATCTGCTGGATTACATCAAGGCACTGAACCGCAACAGCGACAAATCTATCCCTATGACTGTAGACTTTATCAGACTAAAAAGTTACTGTGTAAGTACTTTCTGCATTTTTTGCAAAATTCACGGATGGTATACAAATATTATGAAAATCTAATTTCTTCCCTGAGTCTGTTTATCAGTTCCCCCTGAGACTGCAACATTGCAGCCATTAGATCACCAATATTTGGCAGTCCATTAGTAGTAAGCTGTTAATAAGGCACTGGATGGCTACTTCCATGTTAACGTGTATATTTAATTTCACTTAGGTGATGTAGACCTCTAGTGGTTATAAAGGGGGATTGCTTATGTGAGCTTTGCGGCTGTGTTTGCATCAAATGATGTGTGTGAACTTAACCCCTTAAGGACACATGACATGTGTGACATGTCATGATTCCCTTTTATTCCAGATGTTTGGTCCTTAAGGGATTAATGGACCCAAGTATTGTTTTTGAGCCTTTTTTTTTTTTTTTTGGGGTTGTGACAGATAGTATTACGCAATTGTTGTGACATTATGAGGGCTTGCGCAGAAGCCAGCATTTGCATAGTCAATACAATATTTCGTGTTTACATTGTACGGCTTATGCAGAATCCAATGTTAGCGCACAAACCGAAACAGTAATACCATGCTATCTGCAAGATCATGTACTGTCACTTTTCCGTTTTATACCATCATAAAAACAATAAAACCAAGAAAATAAAGAGATCGAGAAGAAAGAAAGCGGTTGAGCCTGTTTTAAATGTTTATATATTCACACAAACTGAAAATAATGTGCCTTTCCTTCTAATGAAATCTTGTTGCCAAGTTTCCCTTGGGGATGAGAAGAGATTGGTTTATCTATTTAGAAGGCACAGAACACAAAGGCTAACTCACTAAAGTAAGAATTGTTAGGAATATAAAGTGAATTTCAAATTCAAGGAAAAAACTGGCTATGGTTCCAGTTCAGGTACTTTAACATAAAATTTTAAATTCATCTTGAAGTCCTGACGATTCTCATTTTAGCGAATAACTTGGGCAGTGTCACACTAAAGTCCTTGCTAGTTATGTGATATAATGTTGGAAAAGTCCTTTAAAATATATGAAACTTTAAGGACAGAGTTTACAACGATTCTTGGTTAGATATACAGTTCAGCCACCACACATTGTCAGGTATAATATTTAGACACTTAAAAAAATATGGTATAGAATATATACAAATTAGTGGAGCGCTATATAAATATAAAATAATGGAGGGGCCCACTTACCACATCAATTGAGTGTAATAACACACTTGGGAATATACATTTGAAAGTGCATATATTAAGAAGAAAATAAATAATTTTAAAAATAAATGAATATGATATATATCTCTAGCTATCAGATGGTCTTTGGCAGTAATGTATGGTAAGGTGAATAACTAAAACCACTCACATGGTCTGTAGCCTATGTGGTATTGGCTCCGTAAAATAACAGTTTTTGCTCCTTGAGCAGCAACACACCACTTCCTCAAATATACAGAAAAGGGAAGAAAAAGACCAGATGTGTAGTACTGTGTATTATTATTACACACACCTTTTTAAGAGCCTTCAGTTCCTGGCTCTAAGGATGATCAGCAGTGTGCCAATTTCTTGGGATGGCACTCCCCAATAAGGTTCCTAGAGGCTCCAAGGACTTGGTTTGGAATAACTGGTAAACCCTGATAGTATGGCTCTGTGCAGGCCTTAGTGCTGTGTTTCCAGTAGATCCCCAAGGGAAGAACTTGTTTGTAAAATGATTCTTGGTTAGATATACAGTTCAACCACCACACATTGTCAAATGTATAATATTTAGAGCCTGAAAGTGATGTGGTATTTTTTTTTTTTATAGAATGATCAGTCAACCGGAGACATAAAAGTTATAGGAGGGGATGATCTTTCTACTTTGACAGGAAAGGTATGTAATATGTAAACTCACCATTAACTACCCCAGTTCCGAAAAAAAAATAAAAAATAGTACAATATTGGAAAAGGAGAGGTCAGCCTGCACATGGCGAGATCTGCAAATTTGGTCTTGTCTGCCTAAAGATATTTTGTCCTAAAGATAGTTTGTTGAAACCACTCTTACTGCAATCCTATATATTCTCCTCTGTTCCCCAGCCAGAATACTGGGTTCTCAATTCTTATTAGATTGCGTTAAGTGTACCCAGATCTCCAGTATATTTTCTCTTAAAATTATATCATTCGTTTACATTGGCACATACAGTGGAACCTCGCAACTCGAACTAAAATTCCACATAAAAAAATGTATCGGTACCCGACCACATCACGTGGCATTCACAGAGGGACACAAGTTAATTACAAAGGTAGATGAGGAAATATGGGCAGATGGACTATGTAAAGGGAGAGAGGGGAATATAGGGAGAGGAAAACCGGATTACAGACGGACACACGTAAGGGATGAAGATATATAGGCAGAGGGACAAAAGTAAAGGGTGAAGGGATATGGACAGAAATTTTATGCAAGGAGAAAGATGAAAATATAAGAACAGTTACCTATCCCCATCCATGTAATTTTGTTCCCGAACAAATCGGAACTCTAACAGCCTTCTGGAACGGATTAAGTGTGAGTTCTGAGGTTCCACTGTACTCACAATTACTGTTAAAAACTGCATTACAATTAACATATTTAAAATGTAAGAAAAAGAAATCATATTTCCAGTATATGTATAATTATATATTTTTATTTATTTTCTTTTAGAATGTAAACATAGTGTGTGTCATGTGTTGATAAGGATATTATCTTGTTACAAGCATTGCACAGAAACCTTACTAGCGTAAAATTGTGATTTGTTCTGGTCAGGGTGCAGTATAGTGTGTGGGACTTAGCCGAGTTAAAGGATCACTGTTGTGTCAGGAAAACAAATCTGTTTTCCTGACACTATAGTACCCTGAGCTTCCCCCGTCTGACATCAGCGGAGCGGAATGCGCATTTTTTCAATGCTTTCCAATGGACGCTCTGCATGATGGAGGTATTAAATGCCTCCAGCGTCGCAGATGCGCCTCTAGTGGCTGTCAAATGTAAACATAGCAGTTTCTCTAAAACTGCTGTGTTTACAGCAGGCAAAGTTAACCCCAGAGGGACCTGGCACTCAGACCACTTCATTGAGATGAAGTGGTCTGGGTGACTATGGTGTCCCGTTAATGTCAAAACAACTTGTTACAATGCAAAAGACCTTGATTCAGATCTCCTCTCCCCCTACTCGCCAAGAGCAGTGAGCAGCAGATCGTGGAGGTGATTAGTTCATATTAATAAAAATAATTGTGTGTGTGTGTTGTGGTTCTGTTTTGTTTTAGTGTTTTTTTTTTTTTGCTGTTACAAATATAATTTTATTTTTATTTATTTGCAGAATGTATTGATTGTTGAGGTAAGTGCTTTCAATAAGTTTTGAATCAATCATGAAGAGGTGATTATAGAAGCTTCATAATATAATCGGATATTCCTAGTCCCTTGGAATTGATGGGATAAATTTACTGAGTGTAATGCATTATTTTACTATTACATTGCACACAAAAAAAGCATTTCAATTTATTTCCCTCTTTTCTTCGACTCTGCACTGTAGTATAATTCTGGCTGTGTTCATGGTTTTCCTGCTGTTGTTTTTAGGATTTAGCAGACACAGTCAATTTAGAAGAAGCACTAACTTGATCTGGTGCTGCAGAAACAGACCCTCTCCCCAGAGACCCAGAATTAATTCAATATAAAGTTGCTCCAAACTCAGGGTTCAGTTATGTATTTTATTAAAGCGAACCACAGCAGGTGGATCCTGCAAAGTTTTTGTACTGTAGTTTATTTATTTAATTTTTTTGTGAAGCCTTTACAAAGCTACTCCCAAAGGTACCACTGTATTGAAACGTGGCTGGGTCCAACTTTTGTTGTTTGGTTTAATAAAATACAACATTGAACCATGGTTGTGGAGCAACATTATTTTGAGTCTGTCTGTGGGCTCATTGGCAGGTACCAAATGCATATCCATTTTTATAATGTATATGAAGGAGGTACATCCACCCTCAAATGTTCTTTTTAACAGGATCCCTTTATTTTAGCCCCCAAATGTAAGTTGGGCAATTGTATTCATTTTTAAAAAGATCAATAAGTAAGTTTTGTTTCTTGTAGGATATTATCGATACAGGGAAAACAATGAAGACTTTGCTTGCTATGTTGCAGAGGTATAATCCGAAAATGGTTAAAGTAGCCAGGTAAGCTTGATGTGTTTTTTTTTTGTTTTTTTCAATTCTTTTTTAATTTCTCTATTTAAGAGAGTGGACACATGTAATAATGACTGTGCATCTTTGATTTTATAAAGGTCCATAAAAATGGCGGATCTTCACATTTTTAGCAACCCTTTAAAGGGACATTAAACTGCCTAAATACAAAAGAAATAAAAATCATGGTTTAGTAGATATACCCCAAATGAAAGCTTGCATGCATTTAAATAGGTTTTTTTTTTTTACATTGGGAGTATATGTATATATAATATTAAAAAATAAATAAATAAATAAAAAATGGTTGCAAAACCTGTAGTTTTCTTGTCTGCTGCGTTTGCAAGCTCGCCCCTTCTAACCCTGCTCAGACTTTCTGTTGCTGTACAATCAGAAACTTCCCAATGAGAAGTCTTTGCAAGGCAGGTGCTCTGGGCAATTACTGCCTTTTGAGTTTAGCTCCACCTAGCTAACCAAACCAGGAAGTAACAGGACCTGATGTCTGCTTGAAAGCCAAGGGGGTCTAACCAGGCTGATTTACAAAAGTGTCAATTTGTATTAAAATCAGTACTTTTTGCAAAATTATAAAAATAGGACACACTCTTCACACATACAGATTTTCAGCAAACTAAAGTGCTTTAGGGATCTGGAGTGTCCCTTTGAGTATGGCTTTTACTTCTTCTAGGGATTAGTTATTTTTAAGCTTAATCTCGGAAACTTTAAAGAAGACAGGAAACCCAGTTGATGAATCTCAGGCCGTGTCATTTTATTCAGCGGACTGCTCGCCAACTGAGATTTCTCCACTAGCTGTGAGCCTTGGGAATAAACCGTTTTAACTGAGTGTGACTGATCTAAACAGTGGGTTTGAGGTAGTTGCTCCTTGGAATCTTGTAGTCGATGCATTCACTTTAATTTGTGAGAGGTTTCATTTGAGATATTGTATATTTCTTGGTCTTGATTTTAATATTTTTCTCTTGCTCTCTCTACAGCTTGCTTGTTAAAAGAACTCCTCGAAGTGTGGGCTACAGACCTGATTGTAAGTAATTTTGAAAGTGTGGGTTTTTTTGTTTTTTTAAATATAGGCATATTTCTGGGGGAGTCAAACATATTTGCTGGTATTTACACCTGATGGCCACAAAAGAGCTTCCCTATTCACTTTCCTTTTTGTTATTTTTAATTTTTTTATCACTTTTTTTTTGCTCCAGACTCTCCTATTTCCTTCCGATTAACTCTAACATCTTGTGGACTTAAGGGAAAGCATTTAGTGCCGAGACCCCTATGCACCGAGAATTTAGGCAAATGTGGCCTTCTTTTCTTCCCCTATAAGATAAATAAGCACCTGGTCAAACCAAGCCCAATCCTTCAGCTTTCAAATGTTAAATGGCAAAAATTGTTGAAACCTCTTACATTAAAAATTTAATAAAGATAAAGTCCCTACCTCGTGATGACTAAACCGAAATCAATGCAAAGTGAAAAGTGGTAATCTAGAGGAAAACTTTATGCTACATTTTTTTCATCTCTATCTCCGTGAAGTTAAAACCATATCTCAAGCAGACATTGCTTCAAGTATACAGCATAAAAGACTAACCGTGATCAACACGTTTCGTACATAGTTTCACTTTATCCAGTCTAAATAAAGGGAAACACCACAGACTCCCTCATCCATGGTCCAGCTTGAATAGAGCACTTGGTTGGTATCTCGTGTTTGGTGATGTTCCTTGTTCTCAGCACCTTGTGTAGAAATATAACCTCACTATTTCCTATGTAACCAAATAAGCCTAAGTAGATGCAAGTGAACAAACACTGCAATCCACATCTGCAAAATTGACAAATATCTGAAGCTTCCTGACGCCGAGCACAGATCCCATTCAGCCCACAGCTGCAAGTGCAGGTGAATGGCAGACTTCTGTCACTCAGCCTCTGAGCCAGTAAGTGGTCAGTAGGAAGTGCCTGCCTCAATCAAGCTAAGCATTATATTAATAAATCTATTTATACAAAACTTATTTCTGTAGGTTACAGCTCCATAGTAGTCATCGGGGGAAAAAAAATTTTAACTTTAAAATGTCTTTTAAAGGGATACTATAGGCATAAAATGATCTGTTCTTGGTCCCCTTTTGTTCTCTTTTTACACTGCCTCTCTTGGCAAACTCCTTAACTCCTTTGGATTCCACTACCATCTGTATGCCGACGGAACCCAGGTATATCTCTCCTTCCTTGATCTCCCCCCCACAGTCCTACAACATGTCACTGCTTGCTTTTCTTCAATCTCTGATTGGATGTCCTCTCGCTTTCTGAAACTCAATCTCTCTCAAACTGAGCTTCTTATTTTTCCTCCTCATAATGCTGATCCTCCTCCTTTGCTCTCCCTGCAAGTTGATGGTACATGCATCAGTCCATCCTTGCACTCTCGTTGTCTTGGTATTCTTTGATCCTGGCCTCACCTTTGAGCCTCCTATCCAGTATGTTGCTGCATGAAATTATATTTTTTTTCCATTAGATGTTTACTTACATTAGACTGTTAGGATACAGGAGACTCCTGAGGTGTCTAGAAGGCTATTAACAGAACATAAGAAATTCTAAATCAAACAGAATGTGCAATAAAGAAGTTTTAAACATTAGATGTCTCTCTAAAGGAAGTGTTTAAGAAGACTGTGTAAGTCAGGGAGGTGTGGCTAGGGCTGTATAAACAAAGGGATTTAACTGCTAAATAGTAATTAATTGAGCAGTATGACTGTCAGGGAATGATTTAAACATTAAGCAAAAGTTTTGGTGCTTATAGCGTCCCTTTAAGCATATCGCCTTTGTTTTTAACATTATATATTTTAATGAAATTCCATACTTTCTCCATTATATAAATTTGCAGAATTGGTAACATTTAAAATAAACATATCTACAACTATGAATGTAGACATCACCAAACAAGAAAAGTACCAAGGTGAACAAACACTAAAACATTCTCGAAGTCTTGCCCCTAACTAGGCACATTTACATTGTATTGAATTATAAAAAGAATTCTGATTTAATTTGTTTTAATAAACCTGAGTGTTCTGTACTTTTTTGTAAAAGCTTAATGAAAGATATATTTGTGCTCTTTATGAAGGGCAGTATAACTCACACCACATCCAATTTACTTTAACTTTAATACTTGACCCTTTTATTTGTGTAATAATTCTGCCGGGCTCAAAATGTCCACTAGGCATTGGTGAGTGAAAATTTTGTCTCTTTTACTGTAATCACTTTTTAATATTATTTATTTATTTTAGTTGTAGGATTTGAAGTGCCAGACAAGTTTGTTGTGGGATATGCCCTCGACTACAATGAATACTTTAGAGACTTGAATGTAAGTAGTAAATTTTTTTATATCGTAGTAAATTATGTACAACCAGTGACACGAGTCACAAGATAATCCGTTTTATTAGGCAATTCCCCCATACACACAGAAAACAAGTGTATAAATGATGATTCCATTGAAGAAACCTGTCACTCAGCTGTGTTAACCTGCTGCCTTCTGTTTATTATGGGCTTCAACTTCTCCATTTTTTTTATTAAGATGATATAAGCAAAGATTACTGGATGGTAACCGAGCCAGGTGAAAAATCTTACAAGGACTTGCAGGAATTCTCTCTGAGCTGAACTGCAACTCTCACGATGCTTAGCCTTGTGTGTATTAGCGCATGGAAGTATGTTTCTGTGAGTGTGATGTTAATATACCTGGATTGGGAATTAATAAAATGCTGTGTGGGGTTTAGTGCTGCCGATGTGTGAGTGTCTCTGCGTGTGGTCGCATCAAACAATATGGATCTGCTGCGTCAAAGAAAGTGGCTTGGCCATTGGCTAAATTGATTTTAAGACTCCTGCCTTAAAGTTTAATTGAAGTTGAGTGTTTAATTTCATCCTGGTATTCTAGAATTTGATTAGCTGTGAATTTCATGGCATTTTCATTTTGAGACTTATAAGGCCGCTAATATGAGTTCAAAGGAGAGAAACCTAGTATACAAACACTGTAGCACACTATAGATTTGTACTTCCACTTAATAAAGACCTAAATATGATTGATTTATTTTTGATCTTGTAGTAATGGTTTTCTAATTTCTTTCACCCAGCACATTTGTGTTATCAGTGAGGATGGAAAAGAGAAATACAAGGCATAGAAGACACCTGCGCAAAATTAACCTGCCAACTTTTACCAAGGCTTCTACGAATCAGCTGCTACCCAGCCCACTCATTTGCCTCACAAGTCAAATTCCATCTTGCATGAAAGAAATTATAGCCTTGTGTAGCGGCTTGGTTTCAGTCCTTCATTGCTAGATCTGGCTTAAAACCTTCACTGCCACGGGATGACTAACACATTGCAAAGCACGGTCTTGCTCACCTCTCTGGTGGTGATCAGGTTTTATAGGAAAAACATTTTTTTTTTTGGGTGGTACAAATATAAAAACTTTACTTTTTAGCGATTTTCTGATTACAGAAGAGTTCTTTAGATTCCTACAAATGTTTCTTAAAGTTTTGAGTAGTTGGTGAGACTAAAGTAAACATATTACCAACCACCCTCTACACAAGGGGGCTTCTTCCATTAATGGAAATGAGGGGAGATTCAATCCTCTCCATGCATGCAGAGAAACCCTCCTTAAGTACTCATTCAGACGTGACTAGTAAAATCTAAATAGTTAATTCTATAATTAAAAAAAAAAAATATATATATATATTTTGTAAATCGAATTAGCCATACTTTGACTTTTCCCTTTTCTTTTTTTTTTTGAACTATCAGGACATTGAGGGCTATAGATTAGATATAATTTTGGCAAAGTCATTTTTGACTAGCCCCTTTGATGCAGAAGAGGCCTCTTTAAAGGGCAAATATACCTCTAAAATAACGTAGGCATAGTTCTAGTTATTTAATATGTACTGTATCCTGCTAAGCACCTTTTCATGTTGCAATGTTCATGCTTACCATATAGTATACATTGATGCCCTTGATTGCTATCGCAAATCATAAGTACATTTTTTGTGCCTGATCACTCAACTATTCACCACTTTTGTGGATCAATATTTTATCACATTTGCAGGCAACTTAACAAAAGCCATCTTATAGAAAAAAAAGGTCTGCTGGTTTATATCCTTACTTTAACTGTGTTAATATAACTTAAACTATTGCAGATGTGTACACTGAAAATATTTGGTGTCAGGAAGAAATTGGTATTTTTTTATGTAATTTATTTTATTTATTTTTCTTTTATTAGAGGATTAAGCACCACATTTTGGTATATTTTCCCAGTAATAATAATCAAGTTTCTCATGGTTGTTGTGAACTGTTCAGATATTATTCTTCTAAATTTGATCTGCCATATTTTCCTGAATCCTTTTTTTCATGCTTATGGGCAACATGTAAATTAATGCTACCCAGTGGTATGTTGTAATCTAATGCTGTTGGAGTAAAATCACTGAATGAATAAAGTCACTTACTTTTGAGATTCCTCTCTGCCCATGCATACTGGAGGCCAACACTTATCATGTACCATTTGATGCCTCTAAAAAAAAATATGGTGGGTCTGGCAACCTCAATTGTAAGCAAAAAAAACAACTTTGTGGTTTTTTGGTTGTTTTTTAAATTACCTTTTTATATTTGAAAAAAATTCAAAACTACAAAGTAATTTCATTGTGTATTTGAAATCCTCTGATATGCACTCTACATTTTTTTTTGTGATAACCAGGGGAGGATGAAAGTATGCCAGTAGTGACAAACAAAAATGTGGCACTGTATAGAAAATACAGTTCCATGTAATCATTGCACTAGCGACGTTGCTAGCAAATATAACTATTTAAATTTTCTTCTAGTTTAACCAAATGTATTTGCCACAAAGGTAAAAGATTTCACAGAGAGCAGCTATGGGATGTTTTTCATATTCAGCTCTGGTCTATTTATGACAGCCAGCTTGGAGGAGGGAGCTATTTTCAATTATGTACAATATTACAATCCATCTATTTTCAAACACTCTTGCCAGCATGATATATAGATGGAATAAATGTACCGGTAACTGAATCTGCCCTTATCTTCCATATATTTTTTTTTTTTAAATGACTGGTTCATTAAAGTGATGATGCAAAAAGGGTAGCTGTGCGTGTTGAGGCTTTGTATGGTGACCATATAAACCAAAATCACATGGAGAGACAAAATTCAACACTCACAATAGCGAAGTGCAAACCATATAAGCACTCTCTCAAGTACTAAAAATACAACATTCTATATAAAATACAGAATGCACACTAGAACACTCAAAGCTATCAATTTAAATATTTAATGAATATACAAATAACAAAGTGTATAAAGACAGGAACAAAGTAACAGCACAAGGCAAACCGTAATCAAAAGTATTTTACCCAAATCTTAAAAGCCTCAAGGCAGAAACACAAGCCACCAACTACCCCAATGTTTCGGCACTAACTGGTTGCCTTTATCAAGGGTACCCACCAGCCAAAACAATTTTTAGCAGAAATCTGATGACATGTTAATTATAGGCAGCAGTGACATAAACTGACACTGTGTCAAATGCTCCCTAAAACAAGCAGAAAATAGTGTAAATGTTATATACTTCACTGTAAAAAAGGATAAAATAATTAAATCATAAAGATATTTTTCAGTAAACGCTATTTAGCAGGGGGTGGGGAGAAAATATCTGACCCAAACATATCTGTTTTTGTTTACATGAGTATATTTTCCATCAACGGTTTATGATTTGCATAATATATTCCAAGTTCACAAAGCATAAATTAAACACGTTTAGAATCTAAAAACTTATTTACCGTATAATAGAACTGAAACACTTCTATTCTTACCATATGTTGGGAGGATAAAGAACATTTTGTTTCCTACAAGGTATACCTTCCTGTAAATTGCAGAACTTCATACTTGGCAGAACTGGATAGAAGCATCAATATATTCTTTTTCATAAACTGTGCACAGATAAGGAATATATAATGGAAAAAACTCTACTAGACGACCTATGTGTGTGATATATTTTTATATGTGTATATATAATTAACAAAGAATCATTTTAGTGCTTTAAAATCTACTTGGGTTAACTGGGAAATACAATGTGAAGACTGTTGGATTCCTACATCTTTTGTTGACATGTCAGTAAATGTATGATTAAATTGAATGTTTAAACTGTGGTGCAGTCAGGGGGTCCAACCATCTGGCTGAAGATTGAACAAAAAAATAAATATAAAAGACTGCCACAGATTCAAATCGAACTAGAAAGAAGTTTACAATTTTGAATGCTTCCGATTCCCTCCTTGTTTTGTATAAATGCTTCTGAAAGAAATTCAAGTATTTTGTTCAACACAGGCCCTTAAAATAACTCGTATCAAAAGAACGTTTTGTTTTTTTCTCTGAAATTGAATGGAAAGTCATTTTCTAGACTTTATTTTGGAATTCAGAAACAATGTTTGTAATAAGTTGGTTGAATAAAAATAAAGTCCAATTATGTAATGTTGCCATTGTCTGTAAATCCTAATAAAAGTCATGCTGAATTGACATCTCCCTAAATATAATTTTGCATGGTCAGGTCTTCTAACAGTCCAATCAAAGAGTGGGTGAAGGTGGAGATTTGCAAAGACCAGGGCTATTTATAAAAGAAAAGTTCAATAAACTTTTTTATGCCTGCTTGTATTCCAGGATTGTTGTGAGTTAAAATAGAATTTATCAGATCATTTTTATCTAAATATTCACATTTAGATTTGTGCTTAGACATGTTCTTTATTAATGGGGCTCTGATTTTCTTGTGCGTAGCTTTACATTTTATAACAATGCATCGTTATTCAGGTACTAAAGTTCTTATTTCTCCCATTCTTCTTACATTTGATGCGTTCATGTCATATCTAATAATAATAATAATAAAAAAAGTTAGGATAATCTTAACAATAAATAAGAAGAGAGAACTTTATGAGGTGACATACACACACGTTTAAGCCAATGTTTTGTTATAGTGCCATGTTTGATATGTTCCCTTTATTTCTAATAAGGTGAAATTCATTAACATGAAGAGCACTTTAGAAGTAGTATTAGGATTATTACTTTATTTTCCTTGCTTGTTAATTGGTGAAAGGTGTAGGCTCCCCCCCAGTTTATCCCATTCACACGACTCCTGCCTACATAATGATGAACTGCGCTACAATAGAAGACGCACTCCTAGGGTCCCAAGCTAAAACAAGAGGTTGCGCATCCCGTTATCATGGCCCAAACTAAACTCATGTCCCTGAATGTACGGGGGCTAAACTCCCCCATGAAGAGAATGATGCTAGCACAAGAAATAGGCAGGGAGCTGACTTAGTCTTCCTGCAGGAAACCCATTACAGGGGAGAGTTTAAACCGAAACTTAGATCAAAACGCATTCAAGTGTCCTACTATAGCAACAATGTTAAACTGAAATCTAGGGGTGTGGCGATTTAGATTGCATCCACCGCAGCCTTTACCGAGATCAGCGTCAAAACTGACCCAAGGGGTAGGTTTGTGTTTGTGAAGGGGATATACAATGGAGTTCTTACAACACTGGCGAGTGTTTATGCTCCAAACTCAGACCAAGTACCCTATACGCTCTTGCCTAGCCAAGTTAGAAGGTTTTGCTGAGGGAGCTGTAATTGTAGCGGGAGACTGGAACATGGTGCTAGACCACTCAATAGACAGTTCATCTAAGACTACAGACCCTCGACACCGCCAACGGACACTGTTCTCCAACGTGCTCCACGCCCATCAATTAATGGACTGCTTGCGCATATTACACCCTCAAGAGAGGGACTACTCCTATTACTCCCAGGTAGCGAACAGCTACTCCAGAATTTACATGTTTTTCCTCAGCCATAGACACCTTCCCCCACTGAGCGAAGCATCAATAGGCAACATCACGTGGTCGGACCATGCCCCAGTTTTCTTATCTGTCGCCCTTCAGAGAGATCCCAAATATACCACACACTGGTAACTGAACGAGACCCTGCTAGATGACCCAAGAGTAATAAATGACCTGAGACAGACAATAGGCAACTACTTCACAGACAACGACACAGGAGAGGTATCCTACCAATGGGTCTGGGAAGCACACAAGGGAGCTGCAAGAGGCACCCTAATTAAATGGGGCTCTAGAATTAAGAAAGAACGCACACATAAACTTAACTCCCTTACAACGGCCATACACCTCGCTGAATCCCTGCTCAAACAGGACCCTACAACCGAGAACTTCCAGAAACTCACGGCCCTCCGAATAGAAATGCGATCATTATTAGCCCTTAAAGCACACAGATCGGTCCAGCTGACCAGGGGCTCCTTTTATACCCAGGGTAATAAAAGCGGGAAACTATTGGCCCGAGCCCTAAAAACTAAACATCAGAGGTCCTTTATCGCCAAAATTACCGACAATGCAATACCACAGACGACATAGCTACTGCATTTAGTACCTTTTATGAAGACCTCTACAATCTAGACCCACCAAGTAAACGACCTAACAACCTGAGGGAATATATTACCTCAAACCTTCCACATACTATCCCCAACGACACAGCACTCACACTCGACGAGCCATTCTCCCCAGCAGAACTATCACTAGCTATTAGGATTCTACCAAAAGGTAAGAGCCCAGGCCCGGACGGAATGACTGCGAGATACTACCAAACACTTGCACAGGAGTTAATCCCTCACTTTCTTAAGTCACTAAATGGCCTGGCCCAGGGCAACCCACTACCACCCCCGATGTTGCGTGCATCGATCACTATTACTCCCAAGCCGGGCAAAGACCCCACAAAGTGTGGGAGCTACAGATCCATCTCATTGATAAACCTAAAACTAATGGCGAAAATGATCGCTAACCGACTTAAACCCTTATTACCGGGACTAATCCACCCTGATCAGGCCGGCTTTGTGCCTGGACGCGAAGCCAGGGACAATACCACAAAAATCCTAAACGTCATACATGGGGCAACTGTAACAGACACACCGACACTGCTCATGGCAATAGACGCTGAAAAGGCATTCGACAGGGTGGATTGGTCCTATCTCTTCACGGTCCTGGAGGTCCTGGGGACTGGTCCGAGACTAAGGAATTGGATACAAACCTTATACAGGGGACCGTCCGCCAATGTCAGGGTCAACGGCCACTTATCCACACCCTTTCAGATAAATAATAGTACACGCCAAGGATGCCCCCTTTCCCCCCTCCTATTTGTCCTAGCTATGGAACCCTTCCTTACGGCTATCAGGAATAACAACAACATACGGGGGCTCTGGTACCCTGGGGGAGAGACGAAGGTATCCGCATTTGCGGACGACGTCCTCTTCATGATCACTGATCCAATCAACACCATCCCACAGATCCAACTGAGATTGGAACCTTTGGGACCTTATCTAATTTTAAGATAAATGCGGACAAATGCAAAATCCTGGGGATTTCTGTACCCCCTTCCCTACAAACACGGATACAACGCACGGACACCTTCCCTTGGACTCGAACCAGACTAACCTACCTGGGAGTTAAGCTAACCACATCGCCCAAGGGCCTATTCAAAATTAACTATCCCCCCTTATAAGCAGCATTAAAAAGGACCTCCACAAGTGGGATCTTCCCCACTTCTCCCTAATTGGTCGGATCAACATCTTGAAAACGATGGTCCTACCGAGAATACTTTACCTGTTCCAATTCCCTAGGGACTTTTTCCGACAAATGCGAAACCTTATTTATAACCTACACCTGGGGCAACAAACCAGCCAGAATAGCCTACTCCACACTGACATCCAACATAGGCAGAGGAGGCCTGGGTCTCCCCCACATATACAAATATTATGTAGCAGTATTATTTACCCGCATAAAGGAATGGACAAACACAAGCAAGAAAAAATCATGGTATGAATTGGAACAGAGCTTTGTACGGGCTCCTCTCCATACACTACCATGGCAAACTTGTCAACTCAAGGAACTCTCCCCAATGCATCACCCACTCACACACAATGTCCTCACAACATGGAGACGATACAAAGACACATGGGGACTATCCCCGGGACTAAGTTTTTCCCCTTAGCAGGCAACCTAGACTTCCAGAGAGGACAGGGGAGCTCTACCCTAGTAAGGCTTACAGGATCGCCGAACCCAGACATCACTGAGGTTCTGACAGCCACCCACATTAAAAGCTCTCCCTAGACGGAACAGACAGGATACACACCTCGATATTATGGGCAGAACACAACTTAAGAACTTTTTAAATAGGTCGGCCATCCCCTTTTTCAAGAGATACTACTCGGCCATCCCCTTTTTCAAGAGATACTACTTGAAAACCTATGTGGCCCAAAGAGCGACTCAAAACGACCCCTATCAAAAATATATCGCATTATTCAAACAACTGAAGTCCAGCATACACCACCTACATTCCAACAGAAATAGATGAGAGACCTCCATATACATATGACGGACAGGGACTGGACAGACATTATGGAAACGGATTAGAACCCCTATCAGTGTAGACCGTAAAGAGACCTTTTACAAAAGAGTCACTAGATGGTACAGAACGCCAGCTATACTCCACACATTCTGGCCCACCGTCAGCGACACATGCTGGAGATGCTCTGGGGGTCAGGGAGACATGGAACACATCTGGTGGAGCTGCCCAGGCATAAAAACATACTGGCAGTACATACTGGATGACATAGTGGAAATTTTCACACTGCGAGCCCGTCTGACCCCATCCCAGGTACTACTGGGCTGGCCTCGCTCCTTTAAGGAGCCACACAAACAGCAACTCCTACAGATTCTGCTCGGGGAAGCCAATGCTCTCGTGCCAACGCACTGGCGCCGACCCAGTGTGCCATCCAGGGAGCAATGGGTACGGTGGGTAGAATGTGCAAGAGAAATGGAAGAAATACACTGGTCAGTACTAGGGAGACGGCACAAATACTTTAAAACATGGGAGCCCTTGATTGAGTTTTGGAGGAGCCCCCCAGGGATGGCCTCACCCACACCCCCCTAGCCAAAGAGCGATCACCCTTACTTAGACCGGGACTGTCAAAATAGGAACATAGGAGTACCCACAAGGACCGAATTAAGCATCACCAGGCAGGACAAATATTCCCCCCACCCCACCCTTTCCCCACTACCCTTCCACCCATCCAGGTTTACTCCCCTATAGGACATCCACGCCATAGTAATACATCCTCGTAATGGAAACGAGATAAGCTGTAAATACCTTGCACTCTAGAACCATATCTGGTACACCGGAACCTCACAATGAAGGTCGCCCACGCAGCTGAATAGGACGAACAGAGTTATCATTGGTATTTAACTATGTGCAATTGTATTACAATACCCTACTATGTTACATCTAAACGATCCTTCTTTTTTTTTTCTGTACCCCATGACCTTTACGCTTTTGAAAATAAAGAAAAATTTATATTAAAAAAAAAATCTATACATTAAGAGTTCTGTGTACAGTCTACAGAGAATCCAAATGATTGATGCAAAGCTACTCCCTCATGACTAATCTACTCCAGATTACCTGAGGTAGTAGGTATATCTGGTTTTAGTTGTAACATCTAAAAGAGTAGGACCTTAGGAAAGGCAGAAGACTACTAGTCTAGATTAAACTGAAATATGATTGAAAAGGTTGTCATAACACCTGCTCTGTGGTCTACAGAAAAAGGTCACAACACCTCTGGATTCATATGGGATGTCTGGACTGGGGAATTTTAAAGATTTAAGAATCAGATTGAAATAGAATTGAATC